GCCTGCACACACTTATGACCACAGGGGAGGTTCATCTCTCCCTTCACCTGTCTCACCTTATCTATGCCCTTTTGGCTCCCTGCCAGCCTGCACTCTGCTGACCCAGCTGACCTTCACTGTCTTCTTGCTCTTGCTGCTGAAGAGGTGTGCCTAGCTTTTTGCAGCTGGGCTTCAGCTGCAAAACAAGAGAAAGAAAGCCAAAAGCCGCCCCAGAGCTGCAGTGTGCCAAAATGCCCTTTTGGAAAAACGTCTTGGAGCATGGCGTGCCCAGCCTGGCTCAGGAGCTCAATGCAAATGGGCATTCTGACACAGTGTGGCTTAAGGCTTTTTTTTTTTCTTTTCTTTTTTGATGTAGCATCCTCCAACAGCCCAGCAGATGGGTTGGTATGCCTGGTCAGCAATGGGAGCAAGAAGGCAAAGATCAGCTGGGGCAGCAGTGTGCAGGGTAGTGAGAGCAACTAAAGCTGAGATAGGACTGGGGTAGTTGTGACTTCCCAGGGCATTAAAGCAGCCCCTGGGATCGCTTGTCACCTCACCCTGCAAGACATGATGCAGGACAGCCAAAGGGCAGAGATGGGGGGGATGAATAGGGGTAGTTGGAGGTAGCCCTTAGTGAGGCTCAGGGACCAGGATGGCTTGGATTAGGGTAGGTTATTCACTTAAGAACCTGTGATTCTTGGTTGATGGGATTGCCTTTATTAAGCAATGTAATCAATGATGTCATATTTTATGACTCTATCACTTACCGATGGAAATTCCTTTCCCAATTGTGGTCATAAGGTGAGGACTACTTGTACTCCTAAATGTCTTAAATTGGTAAGACATTCAGAAAGTGGCCTAGTCTGGGGCTTGTGTGCTAATATATTTCATGCGGGAACTTCTGTTGTAGCGCAGTATATTAAAAAGTGAATGCAGTATTTGAAGTTCAGAACTATATTAGCAACCTTGACATAATTTGTTGGAAGATTCTCTAGTTTTTCCTACTTACGATATTGCCTAGGGGGCTTATATGTTTAATATAAAGTGCTTTCAGAAAGTATTCAGATCCCCTTCACTTTTGTCAATTTTGTTATGCTGCAGCCTGATTTTACAGTTGTTGAAATTCATTTTTTTCTCATTAATCTACACTCAGTACCCATAATGACAAAGTGAAAACAGAATTTTAGAAATGTCTATAAATTTATTAAAAAGAAAAAAACTGAAATATCACATTGGCATAAATATTCAAACCCTTCACTCAGTACTTTCTTGAAGAATCTTTGGCAGCAATTACAGCCTCAAGTCTTTTGGGGTATGATACGTTTTGTATACCTGGATTGGGGGATTTTCTGCCATTCTTCCTTACAAATCCCCTCAAGCTCAGTCAGGTTGGATGTTGACCGTCGGTGGACACCATTTTCAGGTCCCTTCAGAGATGTTCAATAGGGTTCAAGTTGGGGCTCTGGCTGGGCCACTCTAGGACATTACATTTGTCTCTAAGCCACGCCTATGTTGTCTTGGCTATCTGCTTAGGATCATTGTCATATTGGAAAATGAACCTTTGGGCCAGTCTGAGGTCCCGAGTGCTGTGGAACAAGTTTTCATTGAGGATATCCCTGTACTTTGCTCTGTTCAGCTTTCTCTCAACCCTAACCAGTCTCCCAGTTCCTGCTCCTGAAAAACACTCCCACAGAATGATGCTGTCACCACTATGCTTCACTGTTGGGATGTTATCGGGCAGGTGATAAGCAGTGCCTGGTTTCCTCCAGACATGTTTAGAATTGTGGCCAAACAGTTTGATCTTGATTTCATCAGAACAGAGAACCTTGTTCCTCATAGTCTGAGAGCCCTTCAGGTGCTTTTTTCCAAACTCCAAGCGAGCTTTCATGTGTTTTGCACTGAGGAGAGGCTTCCATCTAGCCACATAAAGTCTACATAAAGCCCAGATTGATGGAGGGCTGCACTGCTGGTTGTCCTTCTGGAACTCTGTCTCATTTCCACACAGGATCTCTGGAGCTCAGTCAGGGTGACCATAAGGTTCTTGGCCACCTTTCTTATTAAGCCCTGTGATTGCTCAGTTTGACCAGGTGACCAGCTGTTGGAAGAGTCTTGGTTGTGCCGTCTTCCATTTGAGAATTATGGAGGCCACTGTGATCTTAGGAACCTTCAGTGCAGCAGAAATTTTATTGTATCCTTTCCCAGATCTGTGCCTTGCAATAATCCAGTTTCTGAGCTCTGCAGGCAATTCCATTGACCTCATGGCTTTTGCTCTGCTACAGTATGCATTGTCAGCTATGAAGCCTCCTATATAGGTGTGTGCCTTTCCAAATCATATCCAATTTAATTTACTACAGGTCGACTCCAATCAAGGTGTAGAAACATGTCAGCAACGATCAAGAGAAGTGGGAAGCACCCAAGCTAAATTTCAAGTGTTGTTGCAAAGGGCCTGAATACTTATGCCAATGTGATTATTTCATTTTTTTTATCTTTTTAATAACATTACAGACATTTCTAAATCTCTGTTTTCACTTTGTCATTATGGGGTATTGAGTGTAGATTAATGAGAAAAAAATGAATTTCAATAACTGTAGAATCAGGCTGAAAACTCGACTGTGACTCATTTAGAAAGTAAACCAGCATTTACTTTCGAAGTGAGTCACAGGTTAGACTTTTCTTGACATATGCACTTTTGTAGGTGTAATGGTACATGAGAAAGTCATTAGAAGACTGGGCCAGGAGATACTGTCAAGGAAACTATTAAGAGAAGAGAAAGCATAGCTGGCAGTTGAATAGTGGGTGGAACAAGAGGCCCAGAAAAGACTCTTTCTAATTTCTCAGGTTGTAAAGGAGACAACAGCCAAGAATTGACTTTGACTTTACTATAAAATAGAATTAGCTCATCTGGTTGTGATTCCTATATGGTTTTCTCTGCAAGTCCTACAGTAGGATGGACTAAAATTGACTTTCAGACTTTACTATAAAATAGAATTAGCTCATCTGGTTGTGATTCCTATATGGTTTTCTCTGCAAGTCCTACAGTAGGATGGACTAAAATCTGATTTATATTTGTGATAGTAGAAGAGATTGCAAAATGGGTTGTATTATTTCAGGCTGCAGGTACGGATCATAGGCTTTAATGCTTTCTTGACAAGCAGGGAACAGCATCCTGAATAAAACAAGTTTTTTTTCCTTTTTTTCTTCTATTTGTTTTTATCTGATTTTTGGAGACTGCCTGGACAAGTCCCGCAGTTTTGACAGAAAGTGACTGGCCTAAGGTCACTCAGCTGGCTTTGTGCCTAAGGTGGGACTGTAACTCCTGGTTACTAGCCTGATGCCTTAACCACAACACAAAACTGGCTTTAGTTTCACCTGTTTTGCTTTAAAATGCAAAGGGCCATTCTGCAGCTAAAATGCAAAGAGTTAACAGACTTGGTGAGTTACATCCAGGTTTCCAGAAATAAAATTATGGAATGGTGGAAGAAATATACAAAGTAAAATGTATGGTTAACTCCTATGAATGAATGAATGAATGAACGAACGAACATTAACTCTTTTTCTACTTCCCAACAGACAAAAAATATTAGAACTTGTCTGAAGAGGGCTGTTCTAGATAACCTGAAGAGAACAGGGCCAATTGTTAATAGAGGGGGATGCTTTAAGGTAGGTTTGAGTATCATATACACAGCCCATCCTGGGCTTTCCAGGGCACATACAAAGTCCTCTGGCTGTTGCTGGTAGAACTGGATCCAGAAGCTGCATGATTTCTTCACCTTAAGTTTGTGAGTTTCGTCTTTGGAACATCTTCCAATGCAGTTTCATACTTTTCATTGTGTTTTCGGGTTTTTGGGTGAATGGAGTGGCTTATTGTAATGAGTTTTTGTGCCTTATTATTTGAAAGCCATCTTGAGTTGTTAGAAATGGTGCCTATATAAATCAAATAACTGAACAAGCAAACCACATTAAGCACCATTCTACTGAGACACACGGGCGATGCAAGTATAATTCCTCGACATACTTAAATGACTGTCATCAATGTAAACTCTGGCTGTTGTTAAAGATGACCTCTATTTATAGTGGGAACCAGTGGCTATTAAGGAATATTCTTTAATACTGAACTGGAAAAAATTAACTGTACTTAGATACCATAGGTTTGGTTACCATTCCTATTAAGAATTTTCCTAGTAAACAGGTGTCACTTAACCAGATTTTGCCACCCCTGTAACTGGAACAGCTACTGCAGAATGCTTTCCTCTGCTTTTGATTTGGACTTGGATTATTCCCACACCTTCAAGCTTCTTCTGATGGAATGTTTCTTGGAGCCACCTCAGGCTGAGTTTGGCTGCCTCAAGATTTTGCCCCCCTCAGTAGAATTTCTTTCCACCTTGGCCACCAATTTGGCTTCAGACCAAAAGGGTTGCCCTTTTCTTTTTTGAAGTTTGTGTTATGTATGCAAATGACTCTCACTTCCAATCCCGACCATTAGACTAAGTACTTGGAATAACCTTTGAGTATAGTTACTGGATAGGAATGAGCTATTGATGAGCTGCTGTTTTAGTTAAGTGTTTGCAAAGTCTCTAGACATTTCAGCTGCTCAGAATATGAATTAGTTAAAGGATCTTGTTTGCAACTGCTTAATTATCTGTGCTCTGATAAGCTAACTTCATCAATTTAGTAATCATTTTCATGGACATTTTGTGAATTGATAAAGGAAGAAATAATGGTTGCCAGCAAGAAGAATATGAAAGTATTATCATTTGTATTACAGAAAAACAGATTTCAGTATCATGTTATTTTTCAGAGCCACTAACTTGCTATATGTTTAGTAGGCACTTGGGATTCATGCAGTGTCATCATCTATGCCACTAACAACAATATTAAAAGAAATATTGGAGCTTCTGTTCCTTTGACAAGGATTCAAATACAACATTAAATGGAATGAATATTCCATTCTATTTTTAGAATTGATTTGTTAAAATATTCGGAGTGTAAAATTCAACACCACAAATAAAAAACAAGAACAATTATGATACAAACAGTATGTTTATACTTATGAACAGATTGACATGCACCAGATTCACACATTTACAGACACCCCAGGCATCAAAGAATGTTACAGCTTCATCAAATGGAGGTTACATGGTTTTCTATGTAAACAGGATCTTTAAAAGATCAGTCTTCCCCAATTGGAATTGCCTGAATGTTTTGGACTAAGTTCACAACATTATAATGGTTGTTTTGGCTGATGGGGAAGGAATTGTAATCAAACACATCCAAAAGTTGATTGCTTGGACAAAGCTGGACTGATGTTAAAGTGATTATTTACAGACCATAAAGAGCACAAGAAAGCAGCTGTAAAACATGAGGAAGCTATAGTGCCAGAGAGTAATGTTGGTAACAGATTAAGTTCTTTACAATGCCAAAATGAATCCTATTCAGTCAAAACCTTACATAAATCTGCCATTTACAGATCTCACCAATTTAGAATCCATAAAAAATCTTATTGTGTTAACTCGATTGAATATAAAGTTGATCTAGCTTCAATCTCCCTCTATGATCTCTCTTACAAGACTTCAGTATAAAAGTTATATGGTAATTTTAAAATTAAAGAACCCAAATAATTGTAGATCAGATTTGTTTTTTTTCCATCAATATCAAAATCTAAAACAAATCACACAAGAGGTAAGCCAGAACCTAACAGCTAGAATGGCAAATGTTTCACTTTATCCAGTACTAAATAATGACTATTTGAAATCTACAACAGTTCATCAAAGAAATCTTTGTGGTTTTTATGAATATAAACAAAAGGAAACTACTTACACTGGTATTGGAGGAACAAACCCACCAATCTCACACCATGAGATGTTGCACACAACCTTTTCTGCATAGATCATCTGAATTTTTAAGTGGGTTTGCACAGCTGCAGGTTCATCAGAATTACCTTTATTTAGCATGAAAACCAAATTTGATATTCTAAGGCTTTTTTGTTAACTTTTAAATAAAATATGTACAATAGTAGACTACATAATCAACCACTTCAGCTGGCAGCGGTAGTAACAGCATTGTAGAAAGGCTTAATTTAGAAATAAGCTAAGATGTAGCTTAAGATCAACTTTCAGTAGAACTGACAGTCTATCACAGGGGTGTCAAACTGGTGACCAGATGAGTCAAGCACAGGCCACGCCCACCCTGGCTCCTCAAAGGCAAAAAAAATCGTGATATGTCACGTGACGTGATCGACTTTGACACCTGTGGTCTACAAGTAAGATGAACACATCCCACTATGGTTGGCAGCAGTTTGTTCTATAGAGACAAGTCAACTGGGACTACTGCCATAAAATGAAGCCCAGCTTTATTCATCTAATGTATCAAACTTGAGTCAAAGCCTCTTGTAGCACATATTTCAAGTAATCCAGTACTTTACAGGAAATAGCAAAGTAGCTATTAATTTAAACAGTGTTGCCATATGGAGTTTCAGGGCAATAAGTATGAGCCTATTATAAATATATTTGACAGATTTAATTCCTACATTAAATTGCAAACAGCATCAAATTATTGTTATAGTAACTGCTTTTACTAAATAGTTTTGGTTGCACTTCATCTTACACATTTCCTCATTGTCTTGATCTACAAGATTCTGGCAATAAAGCTTACACAAACAAGAGTGACTATTTGAAGTAGGACATCTTAGTGAATAGATTAACTGTATTTTAGTGGCATCACCCGTCCATATCTACTGGTTTGGATCTGTAGCATTTCTTTAGTGAATGGAAAGGCTCTTCCCACTCATGGAAATGACTAGATTTAGCAAAAATTCCTACTGGAGAGAGGGAAGGTTCCTAATTCCCATTTCTTATAGCCGTTGGCATTATCTCCCTTTATATTTTGAAGCATTACCTGACCCCTCAAAAATGGGAGCATGACTAGTAATCTAGATTTCTCATTCCGGTATGAATACTTACAGCACACTCATTATTATTCTATACTTTTGAAAATTTTAACTGGAAAAGGAACAAGTTTACATGCTTAGATATGGCAGTGTAAACTCTGGTTTCTATGATAATCAATAGGTATAAAAGACTGGTTCTGACATGCAATAAAAAATCTTAAGCTGCATGTTGATGAAAATGAAAATGGATCTAGCTTAGTTAATAGTATCTGGTCAACCATACCGCTTCTAAGGGTAATGCACTGAAATAGTGATAATTTAGTTCTCTATTGATTGTTTCATTATTAGAAACTCTTCAGTCCTATTATTATTAGAAATATGGTTAACTCAATAATTTGAATATCACATTTTTGAGAACTGCTCAGTAGAACTGTTATTAGTATGAGTTTGAGTTATTCCATCAATGTGTTATAAAGAGACCTGTTATCTTCTGAACATTCAATCCATATTAAATTCTTTTGCACTGTTTTTGTTTCAATGTACAGATTTTAATTTGTGGATTACATCTATTTGCACATTACTGGTCTTGTTTATCAACCTGTACATTACTGATGCATGATTGCTATTTGAATCCAAGCATTGCAATAAAAGCCCAAGTTCATTACTTCTTATAGTTCATGATCACAATACACGTACAATGTGGAATTTCCTATTACAGAACTGAATATTTTTTTCTTTATTTTCCCACAAAATAGGGCCTCTCACCATTTTAGCAATCCTTTATTGAAGATAACAAGTTGGTTATGTTCACTGTATTGTATGAAACATCACAATATCATACTGGGAAGGTACTATCAGTACAGGATTAGACCAGAGCAGACAGTCTGAACAATAAACCATGTTGCATTCTTCGTTCCCTAGCTTTTAACAACCCCCAAAGGAAAATGAAACAAAAAAACAATAGGGACAAATACCTGTTAACATCATCATTTAAAACACCTTTTAACTTACGAGACTAAAATCTAATGAATAAATAAAATATATTGTGGCAATAATCCTTTCTAGACCACCCCACTGCCAAAAAAAACTTAATAAAACAAAATAAAAACATAACCAAATGTTTGGGGAACCTGGCCATATAACCAGGTTATAAGAGTGTACAAGGATTTACACCCAAGTGTAGGTAAGGGGAGGGGGAGGAGGGTTACAGAAAAATACCATGAATTTTATTTCACACAAAACCAGTTGATGACTGTCATTAGCTTAAACTACACAGAAGGGCAATTACATCCTTGTTTGAAACACAGTTTAAACAAATAGGAAAATGTTTACAAGGCATCCACAGCATGTAAGTCATGTACAGATGGATACATTCATTATTTCCCCTCCCCAATAGCTTTTATTTATTTATTTTTAGATAAATACTCTTCTCCACTTTCAGCATTAACTGGACTCAATACATGCACAACTCAAAAGAATTAAGGAAAAAAAATAAGGTTATTGCAAAAATAGAATTAAACTAAGAATCTTCAAGTACCTTACATGACGGCCACTCTGTACCATGCCCATTGCTTATAAAATGAAAGGTCACTGAACCCATGAAAATATCTCTAATATTTTCTTAGATTTAAAATAGATAATTTTAGCTGTATTTATAGTAATCTCAAAGTGATAATTTGAACTTTGTAAATAATGCAAACAATTAAAAATTATACCCATATTACACAAGACCTCTCTTTTAAGCTGAGAGAAATCAAAGGAAAAAAAACTATAGAAAACCACATTTAGAACAAAATCACAATTTACATTATAATAAAGGCAAATATTCAGCATTTAAAAAAACTCCTAGCAATGAGTGAGATGACAAAGCAAATTACAACTAACCATAAATTAAGTTGTTTGGTTTAAAAAGATGTAGCAAGAGTTTAAAGATGTGTTATACACATGCGTAAAATTTGTATTTGTTTAGATGCCTAAAATCTCCTTATATTATTGCCAAATACACTTTATCTCAAGCAAGCAATAGGCAACATATCACAATTTGGACACTGTAGGGAAAGCCTAACAGTCTGGTAATACAGGTAAAACTGGAAAAATTAAAAAAAAAAAAATACACATCCTATAGCATATTGCCCAACTGAATGACTTCCAAAGCCCAGAGCTGTAAAAGTTTTCCATCTTGGTATGGTGAAATAAGTGTCTTGTTACAATTATTTGCACTCAGGTGTGCAGGTATTGTAAGTTTTGTTAAACACAGTGTCTTCAGGATACAACTACAATCCCATGGTACTTTATGTACATTTAGTGAAGTGCTCCAAGCATTATTCCTTGGTTTTTAGGGCTCTGGCTCCACATTGATGTAATCAATATGCCCAAGGCTGGTAAAAATACTGTAGTATAGGCAATGCTAAGAGTGGCAATATCAGAAAACACAAATATGAACAAATGATGGAAAATCCTAATAATTTCTTTCTGCCCATTTCACAAAATGTTGGAAATTCACCAGAATTTTTCCCTTGTATTGAAGAAAACTGATTAAAAGTTTTTCCCCCTTTTTTCAGATTCAAAAGCATTTTAGTAGATCTGTAAGGCTACCATGGATCTTCTAGATCGCCAGCACCCTACAGGAAAAGAAGAGAGAAACTGTTAGTGCTATATTGACCTTAAAAAAACTAATATCCATATTATTCTGAGTTATTACACAGAGAAAGCATGCACAGATGAGCAAGTAGTCATACTAGATTCTATCTTCAGAGACTCAGTCATTATTTTTCTACTCTCTCTACTTGTAATTTTAATGGCAGGATCAAAAGATTATACTGTCAAGGAAAAAAACTAAACCACTGTAATCCTTATGACCAATCAAGTTTGTCTGAGTTTTCTGCTAGCTTGCTGGTTAAAATAAACTGCAGAAGGAGGGGTGAAATTGTTTTACCACAAATGAACATTTTAAAAATGACAATGAAGGTAGATTACATTCATAAAGTTAATTAAAAATCAATTCACATTTTGGTAGTTATTATTATTTCTATATTTTTCAGTTCATGTACATAATATAAGGAAATAAAAAAACCTAAGATAGAAAGTATTCACTAAATTTGTGGAAAAATTTGTTTATTGATTCTATTTATAGAATTTACTATATTAGGACAAAATAGCAATAAAGGTTATTAAAGTACCATGATTACTTAAAGAAAGTCAATATGCATTCAGATTATTCCACATGTTTTTATTTGATTGTAAACAATAACTAATAAACACTAATTATCAGTACATTTTAGGCATTAGATACATAGTGCTATTAAGTGCATCCTGGATACATTAAGAAAACTGGGTACAATTATAATGTCCATACTACAGTCTAGTATAACACAGGACAACTTAAATGACTAAAATTAACATGTCTTAACTTAAACAGGCAAATGTGTCTTTGACATGAATTATCCACAAGTCAAATACAAACGTGCAATATCTACATCATTGTCAATCATGGAAAGTGAATTATAATCAACAAACTATAAATGATGGCTAAATATAGCAATTTTAGGCTTCTTCAAAATTTTAAGTAAGGTCTCCTCCTAGCATAATGGCCGAGGTGATATTCCTTTTAGATATCAAACTCTAATCCAACACCACTGATATTTAAATTCATCAAATCTCTTGACCATTACACTAAGAACACAGATGTGCTCTTTTCCACATAGGCAGAAGGCAAGCAGTGACAGTGTTATTAAAACTATATTTTATAATAGCTAACGTTCCCAGAAAGAATTCCCTACATACACAGAATGCCTCTTATGCATGTAGCCAGTACATACAAAAGTTTAAAAATCTAACTTTCTAAGACGTAACAAATATGGAGAAAGCAAGACATTATAAGAACTAAACAATGAGCAACTGTGAGGAAAATGAAGGCATTGTATCATTTCATCATATTATTCATCACTCATTTCTGAATCTTCATTGGGGCTCTGCGTTTCAGCAAGCTGGTGCTCACATTTTGCTTTAGAGTCTGTCTCTTGATTATTTGATCCATCTGAAGTTGAGGTTGTAGCTGATTCAGCTGATTCTTCTCTCTGAATTTTAGCTAGCCTGTAACTAATGAGCACGTCTTCCAGAAGGTGGCGGTAGTTTCCCCTATGAGTAATTCTCACTTGCCTGAGAGCATCTGCCAATTTTCCTTGTGTTGCACTTTCTGCAGCTTTTTCATGGTCCTTATTTAAGATTGAATACCCCAGAATCAGTAGTTAAACTAGGATATTTCTAAAATCTTTAATATATTTGACAAACTATTAAAAATTATAAGTGGTTTCTAGTAAGCCAACTTTCAAACAAACTTAGTCTTCCTTTGCAAAAAGTTGTTTGAGAGTTAGGATTTAAAAAAAGTATTTTCATATTAAGTTCACCAATAGATATGAAATTAGATGACAGGACAAAATTTATAATTTAGATGTTCAAAATAAAGACATTAATGTATAACTTATATTTTTATTGTCCTATATATAAGTAATATATAAATACTTATAATACGTAAGTTATATATTATGTTTTAAGACATATAAGTATACTCAACAATTTGTGAACAGCTTAAGTAAAATGAATTACCTTTTAAGTTTTCGCCAATCGATTTAAAACTGCGAATGGAAAGTTTGCTGCCACCTACACTGATTAGAATATTATGTACTACTTTCTAAGTATATTCTAAGCAAACTCATACCACCAGCATGAACAAATGGGCTTATCTCCAAACAAATTCAAGAGCCAAATATAAAAGAAAAATCCTAAGTAGTTCCAAGCATGGTTCTGTATGCTTTTAAGGTCTGAGTTTTCTCTCACAATGTTAACTCAGCTTTGTCCAATACAACTAGGTACATATAATTTAGGGCTAGCCCCCACCTCCAAAACCCACCAAGTCTTCACACAACACATAAAATATGGAATTATGTCATGTGGTATACTAATGTAATCTAAGATAACTTTTCAAAGAGTCTGGTCCAGTGTTTATCATGGACCCCGTTTAAATACTTTTATGGCTATGGATCATGGCCACACACTACCAAGACTTAACTCAAGATTTAAATCATAACATTTCTTCAAGCCTTCACGGACTCCCTGTGATGACATCATGCCCCCCCCCCAGACCGCAGGTTGCGAACCACCGGTCTAGCCAACTTCTTATTCAAATCAAACAATCAAAAGCATTATGTCTTTATATATCAGATATTTGGGGAGTGGGGAGAGAAATAGTTAGAGAGGACTGCTTCCCTCGTGTCCTACTTGTAGATTTCCAAAGACATATAGCTGCATGCAAAAGAGCATATCGATATACTTTTGTCCTAATCTAAGGTCCTTTTGCAGATTATCAAGAATATGTATTAATACATATACCAAAAAGCAAATTATCTTGTAAGAAACTTTAAAGGAATAAAAGAAATCCCAAGTGAATTATGTAAAAAGGGTGTTGTAATAAGCTGTGTTTCTGTATTACTATATCCTCCTTTTAAAATATATTCTTCAAATTTGCCCAGTCCTGAGAAACTGATAATAGTTTAGGTACTGGGATATAAATGATTTTTTTCTTTGAAATTCATTCTGTCATCTTTACTTAAGCTATACTCAGATTCTAACCAAGCAAGACACTGTAGCAGTAGCTTTTATTATATAAAAATGGAAGTATCATAAATCACATAGAAAGTACAAGGACTATTGTAAAAACAAAAAAAGAAGTATTCCTAAGGAATACAGAACTTCCTGCTACCCAGCCTCATCCTAAAGTTTCTACCAAGCTCAATGAAATATTCTTTTATACCTGACAGGTACTGACTAGAAAAAGTTTAGAAGAAAAACTAGGAAGAAAGTTTGCAGTTCTTGCCTACACAATCCTCTTATTTACAATACTTATCTGGAGCAGCCAACTTTCTCCAGCATGTCAACTGCATCATTTCACATCCCGATTCTAAATAATGCCATTAACATCAAACTTCAAAAGCACTCAGTACTGATGTACCAGTAAAATTTTAAACACAGAACATTAAAATATAAATGTATAATTTCAGAAGGTACATTTGATGGACATATTTAATGTGACCAAAGCTACTTTTGCCTAGGAGAGCCAAGACCACCAGAAGAGAGATCACAGCTCTGGTGGCCCCACAAAATCAAACAGTACCATGAGTGACAAAGTACAGGTTTTCTCAGTGGTGGTTTCCAACTGAAAAGTACTCCCTAGAAAGGTATGTCTAGGATGTTATTATTTTACTCTCAATTCATAAAGACTTTTACTGTTATCCCACACTGATGCTACCATGCAATGTTAAAATTGATTTTATTTCTACTATTTTCCTTCCTGCTGTCTAGTTTATTGTTTTTCAATACATGCATGTCTGTACCAATGTTTTTAATACTTATTTCAAAGTGTCCACTTGATACAGCATTAGAAAAACTGTGTACATAAGGTCTCAGATTCAATACATGGAAAGTCCGGGAAATACTAGGAAAGATACTTTTATGCAAAATTTGAATGACTGCTGCCATGCAGTCAATTACCAGATTTGATATAAAGGTGGGGCCTATGATCCCTGCTAGAAAAAAAAATGAAATAAACTGCAGAAACATGGTATGTAAAATAAGTAAAAATAGAAGGCCAATCTTCTTTCATTAAAACTGAACTAACTAAAGCGGACCTGTTTTCTTCTTACATGCAATACTGACAGCACAATTACCAAGACCCAGGCTGTTCTTCAGGACATGAATAATTTGTATTTTACATCTGATGTGATGTTTAGTATTGCAATACTCACCTGTAAGGTAAGCTCCAAAATTTCACAAAGTTGCACAATATTGATATATAGCAGCAACTTAGGAGAATTAGAATTCATAGAAACAAGACCATAGAAACAAGCTAACAAAAACAAGATTTCTAAGATATGAGTACTATTTTGTATCAACTAGAATAACTGAATAAAACACAATTTGAGGACTTGACTTGGTATTACTAGAGAAAATATATTAATTGTTATGGGGGAATATTTAGCAATATAGAAATATTTATAAAATGTTTGCTTTACAAATTGATACCAATCTTCATTCTATACAGAAATGAAAGTAAACTTTAGGTCAATTTAGCAACAAAGGCAAACTTTTAATACTCAAGAAAGCAATTTTAGATAGGGACACTATATTATTTAAGTGTGGGTTAAAATGCACACAGAGACTAAATTTAACTGAGAAACCTGCAATTCTTTCCAATTTTCATTGGTTCAGCACTACTTCTTCAACTGTGGCAATTTACAAGAAACAGAACACAGGAAAATTCAAAAGGCTTTTCTTCAAACCACTACTGTTTGACAACACATAAAAGCAGATTCAGAAACTACCAAATGAGCCCAAAATAATATCATATAGATGAGAAGTTAAATTACAAGAAAGAAATCTCTATTGCTGATTTTTAAACTTATGGGAGAAAACAAATTTCAGATTCAATTTCAAGCACCTCTAACAAGTTTACCTATAACCTTGGAGAGTCATTGCTAATTAATATAGACAAAATCTGTACTAGATATACTAATGTGGCCACCTATATATTCATGTGCATTTCAAGTATTAGATATATGAAACAGTACATATAGTTTTGATTTACACATTCAACTAACTGGTTTATAGTATGTAGCACAAGCCACAATGGTTTGACTCATATAATGCTATAGTTGGCTTCGTATGTTATACTAAATAGATCTAAATAACTTATATTTATAGGTTATTGTGAACCTACCGTTTGTTCTGGTGTGCTATAGAGAAGAAAAAAAGCCTCTGCACATTTCTACATGAAAGTAGACATCCTAAACACATTCTCTTAGGATGTTGTTCCACTTATATAACAAATGACTGATTGAATATTAAAAAACTTTTACATTTTAATTTTGCTGAGTTCAGCAACAAAACTCCTCCACTCATGGCTCATTTTAATTAAGCTGTTCCGTCTAATAGCTTTTTACAAGACTTTAAAAAATATATACTTCACTATGCTGTTTTACCCCTTTAGTAATCTACTTATTAAATGATTTCAAATTTACATATAATATTTTGTTGAATGTAAGGATTTAGCGGAGTATTTAGTAATATCTCCAATTCTGGCAACTTCTAAACATGTAGTCTTCAATTTCCCAAATTCTCAATAATGATGGCACTAGATGGGAATTCTGGTCACTGGAAATCCACACACCTGAAGTTCTCACTGCTGGAAAACAGTATCTACAGAAAAGGCTGATGGTAGCAACCAAAATCACACATACGTACATAACACTCCAAGTTCTCTTTGCGTTCAGATTATTTTGCTGAAGCTTTAAACATCAAATGGCTCAAAACAAAACTCCCTATCAGTTAGAAATGTTAAATATTAAATAAGTGAACAATATAAGGGGAGCTTGCTGAACTTTGAAAGGAATTATAAACGGAGACTGACTGGGCCCAAACCTGAAGCAAGAAATTCAAGTGTTCAGAACAAATTATATACAGAATCTTAAGATTAAAGGTCTGCAATACTGCAAGACACTATAAACTACAATAGAACCCAGAAGGTTTCTGCTAGATCCATACTGATGCTATAATTTTAATGTAAACCTCTCCCTTTGTTTCAGATAGTTTGACAATGTTTGGGAAGCAGTAGAGCATATAATTTGTATTTCACTAAAGATGGGACTGTAGCTATACTATCCAGAACATTCAGAAGGATTATTTTGAACTTAAGTCATTACAGTTGTAGATGGTTCTACTTAGCAGAGGCTAGCTAGGTTTCAAAGATAAACAAATCATCCAAGACTGAATGATCTAGTTAATATTTACAGATCAAGCACAGTATCAAGCCTGGTCTGCATTCCCTCCCTTATTATTCCCAAACAGAAACCAGAGTTTCACAGTTTAATAAATGTGCCCTCAATAATTATCCTCCCCCCTCATTCTCATTGAAAAAATTAATTAGCATCTAGAATGAAGACAAAGAAGATTAAATACTTATTTAGTAGCCCTTAATATTAGGGTTACGTTATATGTATCACAAATACATTACAAAAATGAAATAAAGTCCTAAAGAAATGTTATATGGCTGTCTTGTGGTCTGAATGATGCTACAACATTTATATTAAAATATCTGAAGTACCGTATTTTCCGGCATATAGGACGACTCGGCATATAAGATGATCCCCGACTTCGGTACTGATTTCCATGCCTAGAAAGTCATCTTATACGCCGGAAACTACTGTAATTTCCGGCGTATAAGATGACTCGGCGTATAAGACAACCCCCGACTTCGGCGCCGATTTCCATGCTTTAGAAAGTCGTTTTATACGCCAGAAAATACGGTACAAATCATTTATGGTCAACTTTTACCTTTAAGGAATTTCATTAGCATATTGAAGTACTTGTAAACTCAAATATAAAACATTCCCCATAAAGAAAGATTACATTTTAACTGCATCAGGGAAATTTAGCAATCAGAGATGAAGTACTTACCCCCTCATTCTCTCTGTGTGGGTTCAGCCTGTTATAAACAGCTTCAATAATATTTCTCCTATACAAAGACAACATTTTAAAGTTAGATTTTGAATAGCTTACATAAAACAAATATTTTCTTAACAAACTAGTTGGCTACATGACTGTATGAAACCCCCACAATTCAGAGGAAATACATCCTATAATATCAGATGATGAAGAGCAGCAGCAGGAGTATTATTGCAAGGCTGCCCCTCCTTGCAGGATCCCCAAAAATATCTTGGTTACCACAGCAGGAAGCAGAATATTATTTTACAGATCTTGGTATTTTATTTTACTTTACTTTACTTAGCCATTTATATGGCTATTTAACTCAAACTATGAGACTCCAGGCAGCACACAATAGACAAAGAAGCATCACGCATTAAAATGCCATAATGCATTAAAACATAGTAAACAATAACATAATAAATAGAATTGAAAACTTTAACAACTCACCACTGTGACTCTGCTCAACCTGACCCCAAAACCTGGAAGAACAGCCAGGACTTTACCCACCTTCCTAGAAGCCTGTAGGATTGGGGGCAATCGTATGTCCTGGGGAGGATCATTCCAAACAGCAGAGGTCGCCCGAGAAGACAAACCTCCTGGGTCTCATACAATGGTATTTTTTCAATGAAGGGATCTGGAGTGTACCTTTCTTGTTAGAACTTATGGGATGGGCAAACATTCTTGAGAGCAGACAGCCCCATAAATAATCCATTCCTGTATCAAAGCTGTGTAAGGCTTTATAGAGGATAATCAGCATACTGAATTGCATCAAGAAGCCTATTGATGATGATCAGTGCAACTTGTGGAGTAGAGGTGTTATGTGGGCATAAGAAATATCCTTAAACGGTATGGTAGATGGTAGTCTGGAGATGTGCTTATGTTCTCATTTTAATGCTTAAATAACTATGATATTACATAGAGTATATAGATATTATGCACTCTTATTTTAGTGCTAATTTTCACATGTGATATGACCAAGGCAAAAACATTCTAAAAATAGCCAGCTGTTTTATATAGTTTATGGAGACTAAAGAAATAAAAATGAATGAGACGTTTTGGCAGAAGCATTAGTTATTAAATTTCTCTATAAGTATTGCTGGGAAAATGTGCAATATGTTATTCTGGCAAGCATTATGGACAAACGAAAAATACCTTGGATTTCAATCCTTGTGCAAAGGATTGAACAAATCAAAAAAGTACAATTTACATCAAAGTCTTTTGTATACTAAAGTGCATCCTAGCAAAATTTTGTTAGAAAATTGAGATAATGCAGAACTCTGTGGTCCAGGACTATATCAACTCCACCCAAAGTAAAGATAATTTACTCTGGCCACCACTTTTTTAGAGTATGCATTTTGTTAATTTAAAAAAAACCTAAAATATTTTGTATCTACTTGCATAAAAATAACAATTAATGGGGAAAGTCCTGTTGAGATTATATTTTAACACATTCAAAAAGTTGGGACTGACCAAACTAACTGAATAAAAATTCAAGCTATAATACATGAACTGTGAACAAACAAACAAAAAAAACCTGCAAAAATTAAATTATTCACAAGCCATTCTGTCCGGAGTCAAACATTATTACTAAAGGATGTGTAGCATTTTTAATTAAATCTTAACATATCTTTATCACGTTTCAGTGTTTTCCTATATTTTTAGTCTCCAAAGACTCTTCAAGTGTTAAGTACGTCATGAAAATACATTAAAATGCAAGTACTCCTCCAGTGCAAGTACTCCTCCAGTTATGGCAATAATTGGGACCACAATTTCTGTTACTAAGCACTGTGATCATAAAGCATGACATCATATGGTTGCATTGCTTAGCAATGTTACCATTAACTGAATCCCACTGATCCAAGCCATTCCAGTTTGGTTTCTCCTAGCTCTGAGTCTCAGTAAGGTAAGGAACTACTTTCCTCTTCAACTCCCCTCAACCTGCCTATTCCCACCCCCACCTCCAATCTCTGCCCTTTTGGTCATCCTGTACAGTTGTACTCTTCAGTGATGGTGGCAGCTCTGAGGTTGAAACAGAAAGATGGTATTTCAGCCCTGGTGCTACCCACCACTGAGTGCCACCTCAAGCCACATATTCTGGCCAGCCATCCCAACACAAAGCATGAGCCACTCCCACCACCCTGCAATCTGCAGGCTCTGCCATGCCAGTTGACTTTTGTCATTTTCATCCCGCTGCTTAGAAGGTGCACCTGGCCTGGCCCTATGCCAGGTAGCTGTTGGCTGTTGCAGGCCTTCTTCCAAAGGCAACTTGCATCATTCTCCACATAGCACACGCTGTGCTCATAATACTTTGGAAAACTTTCGGAAAGTTTCTGAGATCTTCCAAAGCATTACAAAACAAGGCATGCAATTTGGAGGACGATGGATATGGCCTTCTCGTGCAGTTTCAGAAGGCCTCAGAAGTCTTCTGAAGCATCACAAGAATGGCATTCACTACTTGGAGAAAGTACATGCTATTTTGGAGAATGACAGAAGTAGCCTCAGGAATAAGGCCTGGTTCAGCCAGCAGCTGCCTCACATAGGGCCAGGTTGAGTATGCATCAGCAGCAGAAGATGGCGATGGTCAGCTAGATGTACCAGGGCTTTGTACTATGGCATAATTGGGGCTGGTCATGGTGCAGGGCTTGTGGTGGCACTCCTCAGTGGCAGTGGGGCTGGGACTGAAATAGGGGCCAGGTGCAATTGGCTGAAACAAAAGACCTTGGGCTTCTACATCAGCCCCTATGCTGCTGCCGATGCCAAGTGTTGCTGTGTGTGGCAACCAAAAGGGCAGAAAGAGAGGGACACAGGCAGGTGGGAGAATTGTTAAGTAGGTGGGTTGCCAAGCACTCAAATTTTTATCATGCAACTTTAATGCCATTCATTTGATGCTGCTGAAACTTTGAATGACCAAACAAATTATCATTAAGCTAGCACTATCTCTAAAGCAAATTCATAGAATTATCTAGCCTGAAACATTTTAGGATGCAACTGAAAAAATGGTTAAAACTGAACAGTTCCAGACAGCAAAACTTTACATAAAGTTAGTAACTCTTGTCATCTTCTTCCCAATGTATTATACTATATGCAAAAACACAGGGAGAGCATTCAGTAATGTAGTTACATATTTGTCATTCTGAAATACAATTTGTAGAATTTCAGCTATTTCTACTGAATGACCAGATTTATCCTGAAGGTCTCTGGGTAGGTTTAGCAGATTATTTCACTGAGCTGCAGAACTAATAAAAAGTGATGTTGGTCTTGGAGAAAAAAAATCAGAGAAAAATATTTGTTAATTGTAAACAGTAACTGAGGCAAGAAAGACTACATTTAAATCTACATCAAGTTATCATGATCATACTAATATTTAAACTCAATAATATATATGCCTGCAAAAAACCCCACAAATTTATTTCTGTTCTATATACTCAAAGAGTTTTGTGTATTTTTACTTACTTGCCAGCTAGACCACCTCCTGGTGGCAAGTTTGGGATATTCTCTGCAGACAAAATGCGCATAACTTGAGCAAGGTCAGGCATTCCTTCTTCACCCGACTTCTCCATAATTTCTAGTTAAAAGAAAATTATTAACTTATTAAAACAAAAAGCATATCCAATAAATCACACATTTGATCATAAAAATATCCAGCATAAACACAATTCAGGACAGATATACTGATGATATAATTTACACAGAGAGAGAGAGAGAGAGAGAGAGAGAGAGAGAGAGAGAGAGAGAGAGAGAGAGAGAGAGAGAGAGAGAGGAGGGAGATTTTATTTAAAAAATAAAAAGCAAAAACAACAGAGAGTTTTTAAATGTTAGCATCAGTCTCTTTAATGTTGATTTTGAACCAAACTATAGAGATCACAAGATGACTGCAATATATTATCTCTAAAGTGAGAAAGTATTTGTTTTTGTTTTACTACTTGGAACCAACTCCTGGTACATTTAATAAAGACATGAATTTATCCCAGAGCAACTCAAAATAAAAAAAGAATAAAATGACTGCTAAACTTCTGCTACTACCCAGGAAGAGTATTAAAAACCTTAAGCCTTTTAATAAAAATTGGTTAGACAGAAAAGTTGTTATCAGAGTCCTGTTTTTTTTTTTTTTGCTACCATAGACTAATCCAGCTTTCCTCTTTTAATATATATATATATAATTTCCTCTTTTCATATATATATATATATATATATATATATATATATATGTTTTCTGAGGTTTTCATGGGTATTTATATGTAGGTCTTTGGTTGTTCGGGTTTTCTCCCGTGTAAAATTGGAAGTGTCTTGGCGACGTTTCGACGAAGTCCCATTCGTCATCTTCAGGCTGGTGTTTTCAGCTTCGTGCTTCAGCTGCTCGAAGCACGAAGCTGAAAACACCAGCATGAAGATGATGAATGGGACTTCGTCGAAACATCGCCAAGACACTTCCAATTTTACGCGGGAGAAAACCCGAACAACCAAAGACCTACATACAAACACCCGCGAAAACCTATATATATATATATATATATATATATATATATATATATATATATATATATATATATATATATATATATACACATACATACACGATTAAAAAGGTTAAAAATATGAACCCTGGGAATATTCATAGTGAAGATATAAAATGCACACCAGGGTAATAAAAACTGTAAAAGTTTTTAATAAATTAAAACTATAAAAGTTTTAAAAAGGCGCTTTTTAAAACTTTTATAGTTTTACATTATTAAAAACTTTTACAGTTTTTATTACCCTGGTGTTCATTTTATATCTTCACTATATATATATATATATATATATATATATATATATATATATATATATATATATATATATATATATATATATATATATATATATTATATATATATTTGCCTTGAATGCAGATAGCCCAGGTTCGAATCTCAGAAGAGTAAGTTTGGCTGATGAGGGTTAAAGGAACCCGAAATAGCTATACCATTCTCTCTTTATTCTTTGTTAGCAAAAACCTATATATATATATATATATATATATATATATATATATATATATATATATATATATATATATATATATTACTATTTCATGGTTTACACTAGGAAAAAAAAGTCCATATAATTTTTCAAGACTGAAAAAGGCCTGTTTTCACAATCTGAATGATCTCAAATGAATGTCAGGATTTTCTCAAATCTTATGCTTCACCAAAATTCAATACATTTGATTACAATGGAATCATGATCTCTTTCTTAACTGTAGCAATAAAATATATGCAGTGAAAAAATGTTTTAATGTACCATAGAGATCTTGTTTTTGAAAAATAAAATGATAGAAGTCATTTTGATTTAACTTATTTTATTATTTAGTCTCCAAACTGTTTTGATTTAACTTATTTTATTATTTAGTCTCCAAACAGAAAATTACTATTGGACTAACATTTATACACTACTCAGAAGTTAAATCCTACTGTTCAGCAGAGCTTACTTCAACTATTAAAGACATGAATTTATCCCAGCTGCTCCAAACAGTTTATGATCCTAAAAAGAAGCTATACGGAATTGTTTTCAAATACTCAATCTTTAAATTTTTGAGTTCCAGTTTTTGCTTTTTATCAGTAGCCTGTAACAGATGACTTATACTTATATCTTATACTTATACCTTCAGGACTAGGTATTTTTTTGCAAATGCTATCATGCCTGGATTTTTGATCTATCAAAATTTATATCTTAAACAGAAGTGCAGTTTATATAAAAATGCTGCTCTACAATTTACAATCCTTTTGATAATGAATTTCTTCTCCCTTTTCCCTTCAAACATTCTTCAACATTTCTCCTTCCTTCCTTCCTTCCTTCCTTCCTTCCTTCCTTCCTTCCTTCCTTCCTTCCTTCCTTCCTTCCTTCCTTCCTCCTGTCTGTCTTAGGTGCCCAGCTCTGCCAGTAAGGAGTAGAGTTAAGCAGCAATTTCCACTAACCAAATAAGACCCTCAGAACTCTCTCCCCATTTACAAGCCCTCATACATTTAGGATATATGTTCAGGAGAACTCTCCTCCAGGGCAGTACAGAGAACTGAAGGACAAGGACAAAGTCAAGTTATAGTAACAGATGTATACTTTATAATTCTCCTTTATATCTACATAATCCCTTTCTACCTTCCCAAAGAGTATCTTTCTTTATTACCTTTGCACAAACTACTTTAAGATAAACTAATATAATCTTACTTATAACTAAGTTAGATGGCCAGGGGTTGAAAGAATATTAAACGGAAAAAGAAAATGGTTTCTAGGTTTTTGGAAGTTTTTTTTATTGTATATGTGCTTTGAAGATCTTTTTCCAATTTATGTCATACAAAAGGCTTCTATAGTCTTTCTAAATGTAACATGACATCCCATTACCAATCCATCTCAACTATATGAACCTTAAAAAGCCTCACACACTGGAAACAAAGATAACCAGAAGAAACTACTTTATCAAAAAGTCAATTTTTTTAAAGACAAAAGCGAATGTTGATTTTTTAATCACTCTGTCATTCTCATCCTCCAATTTAAAAACCAGGTAAACAAAACTTTACAATGTGAAAAGAATACATAAAACTTAAGTTAAAAGTGGATCAGATAGAGAAACTTCCACAACCCCCCAAAAATGTATTCAATATTCTTGCTTATTCTTGAAAACAAGTATTTATTTTCAGTGCAAAATAAAGGAATATTTTCTTTGTTCTTTCATCTGGTTAAGTGTACAATTGTGCAAGAACTCATAAAATATGTTCTAATGTCCAAAAATTGACTTTGCAAATTTACTAATGGAAATACAGTTTCGATTATTATGTTTCACAAAAAGGTTTAGATAACTACTCCATAATTTTATTTCTAATGCTCCATAGCTGATGTAAAATGGCAAGGTGCCGTTTCATTTAATCAAATTTTAAGTTGCATAATTAAGAAAACCACAGACTTTGTCAAAGGGCACAGTTTGGATATTTATTAGTATCAGGAGAAATGTGAAAATGAAAGAAAGGAGAAAGGAAAAATAAGACTTGTGTTCTTCTGTATTCTCTTCAGTTTTCTTTATATTCTTCTATTCTTGAAATAAATATTCCTTCAATATTCTAACTCTCATTTCTTGTCAAGTATAAGTCACTTAAAGTTGTTACAGTTCATCCAACGTACAGGACATTGAATGACTTGGGCAATTCCTGTGGGGAAAAAAATCAAAAGCAGCACACATGGTTTTGAAAAAAGATGGGTAACTTATTTTGTTGAATACTTTGGTTTAACTTTATTCATGAAACTGCATACAGAATTTGTTTTTTATTAGTTACTGCATATAATTCTGGGTATATTTTGAACACCCTATCTCTTAAAATTACTAGAGTTTATTCCAAGGTAAAAAAAAAACCAAAGGATCAAATGGATAGTTATTGAAATGCCTAAGCAATCTTTTTAAATTAACATTACAAGTTCTGTTAAGTTCCTGAGACAAAAACTTCTGATTCTAACACAGCATGTGCAACATTTAAATCTTGTGAAATCTTTAAACAGTTTATTGTTCTGAGCCCAATAGAACAGATCCATCTAAACTGGCACTGAGGGATCATGAAAGTGGTTTCTCTAGGAAAGTTTACTAGTGTAGTACACAAATGCACAGCTTCCAGCTCCCCAAATGTCTATAGCGTCTCCAGAGTCTCTCTAAAGTTATTGCATCTGCAATGCTTAATGTAATAGAAAGGTATTTATTATAATTGAAGTCAATAAAATTTAATTTAAATTTTAATTTAAATTTTGGAGAGCAATCTTTGATATGTCACTCAAAGACCAAGGTTAGGCATATGACTACCTAATGAACTCCAACATTACATTCAGTTACTTAATATTCAAGAGGGTATACTTGTGATTTTAAAGAACTACAGGCTACAAAAAACTCAGGCGCCATGAGTAGAATAGAAGCTCCTTTATTCAAATAGAGATTACATACAGCACATTATGGTAGACTCAATCCAACCGGACCAATATATCAATTATTCAAGTTATAATTTAGAGAGACATGCATTTGTGTGTGCACGCATGCATGTGTGCACGTGTACACACACAATGCTGTAAACTGGTAAATGCACCTTTAGTATTTTATGGCGGGAAGGCAGAGTATAATAAGCAAACATATAATAGTCTGATAAAGTGCAAGTAGTTTTCATTTAACCACAATTGGGATCAGCAGTTCTGTGGCTAAGTGATGCAGTTGCTAAATGAAACATGTAACTATGCCAGACTAACATCAGTTTTGCTGTGGCTTTAAGTCACCCACAGTGGTTAAGTAAGACATCATGTGATCATGATCTGCAATTTCACTGGCTTCTTTATTGACTTTGCTTGTCCGAAGCCAACTGTGAAGCTTACAAATGGTGATCATGTGACTCCAGGATACTGCAATTATCATAAATACCATGTTTCCCTGAAAATAAACCCCACCCCAAGAAAGACTTACCCTGATTTTGGGGGATGGGCCTAATAAGCCCTACTCCAAAAATAAGCCTAATTAGGACCCCGCCCACTCCGTCCCACCTGGCTGCCACAATGGGGCAGGAGGCCATG